CCTGGGTTCAAAAAATTAATTTCACAAGTAGAAGTTGGGGCAGGCATGACTAGGTAGCAATTTACCTGAGTAAGATCTGGGGATTTTAGTATCCAGAAAACTCAATGTCAAAAGTGAAATACAGTATCTAAAAAAGCCAATATGATCTTGGCCTGCACTGAGAGGCATAGTGACAGTTTCTATAGTGGTGACAGGGCCTTCCTTGATCAGATCACATATGGAGTATTCTGGTCAGTTCTGAACACTACATTTTATGGAGAGAACTGATGAGCTAGAATGTCCAGAGAAGAGAAATAAGGATGGTGAAGGGCCCAAGTTCATGTAATATGAGTATCAGTTGAAGGAATTAGGGAAACAAATTTAGGCTCAATGTAAAGGAAAATGACTAACATTAAGAGTTTTCCCAAAGTGGAATGGGTTTCTCCTCCTGGAAGTCTTCAAGCAAAGGCTGAATGACAATTTGCTGACTATGTTGTAGGGTGAATTTTTACCTGGGTGGGGATTAAACTGGATGGCTTCTGGATTCCCTTCCAGATTCTGTGACTTTGTGAACACCAAAGTCTCACAACTGTTCAAGACCCATTGTATTTATCATGGTGTAGTACTTTTAAACATTGATTCTTACTTACATCACCACGGTCACTTAAGCATTGAAATTAACCTATATAAAAACAGTAATTCCTTAACTTTTTATTCCAAAAAAAGCAGCCCTGCTTTGGATGCCCCCTTGTGGTATGAGGGTGATACAGTTTTCCTGAAGGCTGCGCCAACAAAGCACATCTTTCTAAGCTGGAAAAGCTTTAAGGAAGCATCAGTGAAACATTTTAAAAATACACAGAAAAGAAAAAAAAATTCAGAAGGGGATACAGGGCAATTTTCTTACTATTTTGTTAAATTTAATATATTCTTTAAATACTTGTATAGCATATATTTGTACATACATATCTATTATATGTAAGCATATATATATATATATAACTTTTTTTAAGTGATATATTCTTAAAAATTTGTATTGGCATTGAATAAACTCAGTTAACCAAGAAAACAAATATAATACTCAGGATTTTTCTTGGCTTTTTAATTAATTTTTTTTGGTTTGTTTTTGGCTAGGCAATGGGTTTAAGTGACTTGCCCAAGGTCACACAGCTAGTGAGTGTCATGTGTCTGAGGCTGGATTTGAACTCAAGTCCTCCTGACTCCAGGGCCAGTGCTCTACCCACTGCACCACCTAGCTGCCCCTTTAATTCATTTTTTAAAAAATGTACTAAGGACAATGGGATGCAGTACAAGAGAGAAGCATCTATTTTAAAATCTTAGCAATTATTCATTCAACCAGTACTAATTAGTCTGAGGTCCAGAAAGGTTGGATGACTTGCCAAAGGTCACACAAGGAGTGCATATGGCAAACCTGGGATTCAAACCTAAGTCTTCTGACCCCAAAGCCTGTGATCTTTCCGTTGCACCAACAGGCTTCCTCGTTCAGAGGCTGAGTGACCACTCGTATGGGATGTTTTAGGGAATCCAAATTATTTCCGATGAAGGCTGGAAGAGATGACCTCTTCAATCACTTCCAGTTCTGAGATTCTACTACATGCGGAGCCTTGTGCTCAGGACTGGTGGGGAGGGGGAGGAGGAGGAGGAACTAGGGTAATACTGAGATACATCAGACGTAGTCCTTGACCTTAAAAAGTCTGTCAAGTCAGCAAGCGTTAAATCAGTGCCTGTTATGTGCCAGGTGCTGTCCTAAGTGCTAGGAGTACAAAGAAAAGCATGAAAATCCCTGCCCTCAAGGAGCTCATTTGTAACTGTAAGGTGGCTGGCTGCCTAAGGATTCAAGCAATACCCCTATCACTAAGTTGCCAAAGAGAATTTTTTGGTATCTAACAAAAAGCAAACCCAGAAAAGGCTATTTAAAATCACTTTTCTAAGTGCTAAAAATACAACTTCATGAGATCTAAGAGTTGGAGGGGACCTAAGAGAATGTTTAGTCTTGAACAAGAGTCCCTTAATAGTATTACTGACAAGTAGTCAACGGCAGCCCATTTCACTTACGGACGGAATCATTAGAAACTTTCATCCTTTGCTATCACTTTGCCTTCTGAACCCAAGTAGAACAATTTAATCCCTCTTTCATAAGACGGCGACAGCCTTTAAAAAACTTGAAGGCAGCAGCGGTGTTCCCAAGCCTTCCCTTTTTAACGTTAAATACTCCCCAGTTCCTTCAGCTCATCTTCATGTGGCATGGTTATCTTCTAAGTTTACAATATACTATAATTAGTTTGCATTTAATGTAACTTAAATAGGGCACATGATTACTGAAGAGAAACAATGTGGCAATAGTAACTTTCAGAGCTGGTCTTTGAAGTATTCCAGGAAGACCTGAATGGAAGTTCCACCACAACACATACTGAGTGACCCTGGGCAAGCCACTTAACTTTTAGTGCCCCCAGGCAGCTCTCTAAGACTTTAAGTGGCAGAGACGCTGATCTCACTGATAGAGGAAGTTCCTCCCTAGACCAATGAAAGCACAGGTCTGGCAAAAGGAGAAAAAGCTATTGAAATAAGAGGTGCACAGCGTTCATAATGAACACTGGGAATAAGGCAAACGGACCAAGTTAATGGCATGACTTGGCAAATTGCTGGGCACAAAGGCAATATCGCAAACAAATTAGGGTATATGTTGTTAAGATTGGGCAGCAGCCAGGCTCTCCTGTTTTCTGATAGAAAACCTTGGATAATCTTGCCTGTCAAATTCGAGGGCTACCTCAGATGACCCTAACACTACCAAAGGACAGATTTGTTTACAGAAGCTTTTTCTGCAAACTCTAAGCCATCCATTATCAATCTGCAGGCCAGAGCAAGCCCTGATTAATACTGTGTCTTGTATATCTGAACAAGTTTATCATTTGCGGGTAAGTCACTTAGCAACGTCAGAGTAACCATTTGGCAATTGATGTGCTCTATTTGGCACATATTTTAAATGCCTGCTTACATTCTAAGCACCATATTAGATGCTGGAGATATAAAGATAAAAAAAAGGTAGTCCCTGCCCCCAGGGAGCTTATGGTCTACAGGGATGATAAAACAGATACACAAGTAAAATACAAGGTAGTGAGTAATGGGGGAAGTCCGAAGAAAATTCCTAGGAAAATTTGAGCATGATGAGTCACTTTGATCTGGGGCAAGGGAAAGGAGGAATCAGGGTAGAGATGAAGAAAAAGTACTTTCTAAGTCTGCAGAATGGCCTACACAAACCCAGCTGGGACAGAAGAGGAGGGAACGGCTGGTTCAGGCAATCCAGTTTGGCTGAAAAATGGTGTGGAGTCCTCTGAAGGTACCAAAGGGAGATTTGATGCCAAATTATGTAAGGTTTCAACAGAGTAAAGAGTTTGTATTTTATCCTTTAGGTAAAATGAGGCCACAGGTTTTTGAGCAGGGGAGTAGGATGGTCAGATATGAGCATCATAGAATTTCAAATAGCAATGGACATTAGAACTTATCTAGCCCGACTCCCCACATTTCACAGATGAAGATCTGAGACCCAGAGATGTGAAGCAATTTACCCAGACTTCCATAGTTAGTTGTCAGAACCAGCATTTGGACCCAGGTGCTCTGATTCCAAATTTAATGTCCTTTCTACTAAACCATGTTGTACCTGACACTTCCTAGCTGTGTGACCCTGGGTAAGTCATTTAACCCTGACTGCTTCACAAAAAACAAAAATTAAAAAGACTAAACCATGCTGTATGCTGTGCATGAGAAAGATTATTTTGCAAGATGAATCAGAGGTAGAGAAACCAGTCATGCATGCTCTTCAACAGTCTGGGCAGGAGGTGATGAGGACCTGGACTAGGTCCTTGCTGCATGAGTGAAGAGGAGGGACTGAATGAGAGAAACACATACATAGAATTGACAGGGCGTAGCAACTATGGGGAATGAACCTTAGGACTGTCATAAATATGAATCAGCCATTTTCTTGTTCTTCAGTTTTACCTGTGAAAATAGCTCAGCAGTGACCAGCACAACCAAGACAGTGTCATGTCTTAAAGAATTAATTCATTTACTAATGAAAATATCATGGTGAGAAGTTTTGGAGCTATTCTCCAAGCTTTCTTTTTCACTCATTTGAATTGAATGGTATTACCTATTAAAGAAATTAATGAAAGCCAGCAAAATGGAAGGAAGCTGGTGAGGAATTCATTCGGTTTAAAAGGCACTTAGGTTCAAAGACTTAAAGCTGCAAGAGACCTTAGTCCCAGAGATGTTGTGATTCACCCAAGGTAGTGAGTGATGGGGCCAGAATATGTCACCACTTGACTCCAAAATCCAGTGCTCCTTCCACTGAACTAATTCAGAAGTATCACAAAAATACGTCTTGGATGTCTCCTCATGGCATAAAGGTAACACCAGATTCTTGAAGGCCATGCCAGCAGAGAACAAGCTCCTGCAGGTCTGTCCTACTAAGATGGAAAGGCTTCACAAGGAAGTATGGTGACAGCCTATCGTCCGAGAACTAGCCTTCTTAAATGTGAAGAGGTTCATCAACAGAGGACTGGCCATCAAATGATAAACTCTATTGGCTGCTGTACCTCCCAAAATCATTTACTAAAGAAGAGAGAAGCCATTATGGTGGAAACCATGAAACCATGAACCGCTGGAATACTAAAGTAGGTTCAGAGGTTATATTAGGGTCTATTTGGAAAATACAGACACAATCTATTGAGGTCCTTATATATCTCTGTCTATATAGAGTGTCTTCTAGTGGAAGATGACATCAATGATGGTGATTAACAACATTATGGCAAGTTTGTAGCTGAAAGGAGCATCTACCTAACTCTAGAACAGACATTTCAATCAGATGCCCTAGTACCTTGATTGGGAGGGCTCTTAGTTACATGAATTTAGATGTCCCTTGACTATACTCATTCCTTTTTTTATTTCTTTCTCTCCCCTCCCATCCTCTCTATAGCTCAGCTTTTGTAAAAAAAGGTTAACAACTGTCACTTTAAGTTTAAATTTAATGTAATGAGTCCTTTCCAGCAGCATTTTAATATACATCATTCAAAAGAACAAGTCTTTACACAGGAGACCTCAATTTCACATTGATTTTTTTAAAAGTCTCAGGGATGGGAACTGTAAGACAGCATCCTCAGAGAAATCTGCCATTTGGAGAAAAGTGCAACTGGCATTTAGAGCATGAAGCGATTGAACTTGGTGACTGCTTCACATCCAGCTGGACTGCAATTTAACTTAGTATTAGCCTCTGATAATCGCTATTCATTTTTATTAATTCTATTCATGTTATGCAGCCAAGGAAGGAAATGGATGAACATCAAAACCATCAACATTATACCTGAAAGACAAAATAACATTTAAAAAATCAAAAAGGCTATAATCATTCAGTTTTGCATACTTAAGAACTATATGTGTTCATAAAAGATTTTCTATGGCAACACTTCATGCTGCTTACAGAATTTCTAAAATCAAGAATGTTCTTTTTTATTTTCCTTCAATACAAAATCCTTAAAATAACCTATAATAGGAACCAAAATGATTCCAATAATAAAGTAATGGGAAAAACTGTGAGTCCAAAGGAGTCCCTGCTCCAAGTCTGACTTGCTGAGCTCTGTCTCTGTCTTTTAAGGGAACAATGATATTTGTCCCTGCTGATCTCAGAAATACTGTGAATTAAATAAGGAGTTTTGAAAATGCTTAGGAGTCCTATCTTGTAAAAACACACATAATACAAGGTGGTCCTAGTATGACTCCCTTTCACACACATTTTCTTTTTAAATTTAACACAACGCTATCCAACAGATATAGATTGAAAGTTTCCAACAAGTTCAGTGGAGAAGAGCCAACTCCTACAAGATAAATACTTCCAAAATATTTACACTTAAAATTAAAAAAATTATTTCCTAAGCTTAAGAAGTATATGTTGACTATCAAACCAACAAACATTTATTCAGCGTTTATTGTGTGTAGAACACTGTGCTTGGCTTTGGGGAGACATAAAGTTGAGAATCTCAATACTAATAAACCCTAAGTCATGGGAAGGGTTTTGTGGTTAGACAACATCAAGCTAATATGACCTAGGTAGTTTGGGTTATTTTTTTTTTAAGTTCAAGTAATCACATCAGACAAAGCATTATGCTGTACCAACACACCAAAGTAGAATGAATTTGTAGGATGCCAGTTAAGGATTGCTCTTTGATAAAAAAAAAAAAAAGCAGCAATTGAGTTTTATGGTTCTGACAGCATTCAGATGCTACACCACCCAGGAAAGCATCAGTCCATTCTGTAGCTTGGGACTCCATAAAGCAAAACAAGAACAGCTAGAAACAACGACCATGTTACTAATTTCCCCAGGGCTATTTTTGTTTTCTTGATGAGGTCATTGCTAGGATGTAATCACTGTATTTAAGAATAGTCTTATAAAAGTCAACTCTCTCTCATTTTAAGAAAACAATGAATGCCAGACTTTCTTGCTATGAAATTCATAAATTAGGGATGGATCTGGTATGCATTTTCTGTTACTTTTCATTTGCATCATTTTGAATGATTTTTGTAGGGCATGGAGAAGATGATCATTCAAACCTCATGTATCAGGGGCAGGTAGGTGGCGCAGTGGACAGAGCACCGGCCCTGAAGTCAAGAGGACCTGAGTTCAAATGCGGCCTCAGAACAAACACTTGACACTTACTAGCTGTGGGACCCTGAGCAAGTCACTTAACCCCAACTGCCTAAAAAAAAAAACCCCAACACCCCCCCCAAAAAAACCTCATATATCTGAAATAATGAAATGATCATTTGGGAATCGTAATCTATCTACTCAGAAAGGAGACAAAGGTGGTATAGAGTGGAAAAAATAGAACAATGGAGTTGGAGTCAAAAGGCTCAAAAAAGCTGGATTCCAATTCCTCTTCTGCCACTTAATAGCTGTGTGACCTTGGGCACACAGGTCACCTTTCTCAGCCTTGGTTTCTTCATCTGTAAAATGAGAATGTTGGACTGATCACTCTCAGGGGTCCCTTCCAGCTCTCTAACATTGTCTAATACTGCGATTGACTCACACAATGAACTTATTCTCTCTTTTAATGACCAAAATACAGCTTGGGAGTTGTCATCTCTACTCTTTATTCTTCTAGTCTGTAATCTCTGGAAGCTGATGGGCTTGAATTTTTGTCTCTTCCATCTTTAAACTGAAATGTCAGTATTATTCCTATGACCTCTCCATTTTCTCTCTGTCTTTTCTTAGCTTTTTGTTATTCCATTGTTTTTTGGTCATATCTGACTCTTTGTGACCCCATTTGGGGTATTCTTGGCAAAGAGACTGGAGTGATTTGCCATTTCCTTCTGCAGCAGCTTTTACAAATGAGGAAACTGAAGTAAACGAGAGTTAATCGATTTGTCCACGGCCACACAGCTAGTTAAGTATCTGCATCCAGATTTGAATTCAGATGAGTCTTCCTGACTATATTCTATCCACTTCACCGCCTAGCTTTATTAAAACCTTGGGCTTAAATTCTACTTTTCCACCCCAATGGACACACATCCATTTTACAAATGAGAAATCAGACCCAGAAAGCAGAAGGGATTTGCTCAAGGTGACAAGACTATTTAATGTCAGTTCTAGAATGAGAACCCAGGAGTTCAGGCACCCAGCTCATTCATCTTTCTACAGTAGCACATTGTTGCACTGCTCATCCAACCTTTGAGACACTTTTTTTACATGAGACCACGCCTCTAAGCTCATATTTTAAGTCAGTGGTAAACTAGAACTTCTCTTTACATACTTTTAAAGACTACATGTATTTCTTGTATTAAAGTATACCTGCATTCTTTAAAGATATGTTAACTTGTAGAAATTTAAGGACTTGATATATGCTCCCTAAACCAAAAAGTATAACAAAACATTCATGGCATATATGAGCTTAGAGATCTTCTGGCGTGTAAGGCCAGGCCTTCTCTTCCAGTTCTGATATTCCTTGAAGTCACATGCTACAAGATGCAATGCACAAGAATATTAATGCACAAGATTATTAAGTTACACTGGGAGAGCCTTTACAAAATGTTCTACTGTTGGTATTTCAGGGGTGGACTCTGGCCTCTGCCTTAAATGCTAAGGGTTCTTTCAGCCTTGCTTAGGAGAAAATGGAGACCTGACAAGAGAATTCAAGGTTACAACATTTCCTGAAAATGCATGAAATAGAAATGTGCTTACCTAAAGAAGGAGCCACGCAATACACAATTAAATAGTTGAAGAATAACTCATGAAAGCACTGGAAATGTAGTGAAAGGGCCAAAGCTGGATTAAATACAGCTCCTGTTAGATCTCCTCCTGTAATAAATTTTAAGCAAAATGACACTAAACTAGATTTTATATCTTTCATCCGTTGGGGACTAAAAAGAGATGGCAATTACTACTGTGCCATCTTAGATATCTAGCAAATTATCTCTACAATTATATTCTCTCCAAACTTGTAAAGAAACCTAAAGGATTGAATGCAGCTGCTCCCCAAACCAAGAGTTGGATCTTAGAAACTGACTGATCAAGAAGCCTTCATTAAGTGTCTATTATCTCCCAGGCACTATGTTAAGAAACATAAAGACAAAAATGAAACAATTCTTGCCCTTAAGGAGCTTGCCTTCTATTAGGGGAAACAAGAAGTGCCCAGTCCAATTTCTTTATTTTAAGTAGGAGGCTCCCAAAGGGGAAGGCGCTTAGAAGGCTTACACGGCCATAGAATTTTAGTGCTTTAGAGAGATCTTAAAAACCTTCAAGTTCTAGCCCTTTCATCTTTACAGATGAGGAAGGTTAGTCCCAAGACATAAAGAGACTTGGCCAAGGTGACAATGCTAGATTCAAATCTTAGTCTTCTGAATCCAAATCCAATGTTTGAGGGGTTTTTTTCCCCATTACACCACATTCCTTCAGAGCTCAGTGGAGTCAAACTAATATCTCTCTATGCACTACTCCATCTTCAAAAAGTCATGAGGAACTCAGCATCCTTTCTCTTTCAGACTCTTTATTTCTACTGTAGTAACAAGTGGAAGCATTTTGGAATAAGAAAGCACTAGAGCACAGTATTATTACTACTCTAGTCTTCAGAAAATATTACTGGTAGATTTTAAAAAATCATCCTAGTAAATAAGACTGTTCCTAAAGCTTTTTGTAGTGTGTTAGCATGGCAAAAAAACAAAAATAAAAAACTTTTCTTCACAAACAAAAACAAACATCCCATTAGTGGTTAACCCAATTTTAACTGTAAGTAGTATAAAGCCCAAATAACACTACAAAGACAAAAGGTACAATAGTTACTCATTTAAAAGTGCTAATATAATAATGCAGCTCACAACAGGGCCTTAATTTTTCTATTAATTAAAACTATGAATGCATTATTGATGACCATTATGATAATTTATTATAACAACCAGAGATTTGGAAGTCACAATTGGGCCACTTGGACATAGTGAACAATTCACAGTTCCCACTGGAGTCACTGCTGTTTCAGGCATTTGTGGTAGAGGGGCCCTGGTAGTGACCCAGCAACGGAACTCATCACTCTGGTCAGCTGGAAACACACTTCGAAGACAGAGAGGGCAGGGCAGCTAATCGGGGCCCAGACTTCTGGCTCCAACTTTGCCATTCCTAGAACAATACTACAACATTCATGGAGGCACATAGATCTAGGCCTGGAAGCAACATGAGCCCATCCAATCCAACTCCTTCATTTTACAGATAAGGAAACTGAGGCCCAGGCTTTCCCAAGGTTTCACAAGTATCACAGTACTATTGGAAGCAGGTGGAGAGAGTATATGAACGGTCTATATACATTTAGCTATTCCATTCCCAAACTCTTGATTAGTTAGCAGCTGATCTTAGAAATTTGCAAGTATTTCTCAATTTTAAAAAGGACGCTGAATCCTGAACCTGAAAATTAGCTTAGTTGGGTTCTGCCTCACTGTGGCAAACTGAAAGTGACTCACAATTAAGTCTAATTTTTCATTAGGCCAACTTAGTCTTTCACTGGGCTGTCCCCAGAATACCTCAATTCTACTCATCCCTAGATCATATTCTCTTTCCCTTAGTGCTGTGACTCTTGCATCCCTATCAGAAAAATCAGGCATCCTAATGTAGGATGCCAGTATATTCAAATACCGAGTGAAAAAGACCCACTGGGGGCTCTTTTCAGAAGAATGCTCATGCCAAAGCACATGAATATTCACCAAAGTGCTCACTCTCGATATCCCTACCTATCATGACACCTCTAATTGTACCTATTTACTGGGGCAGAAGTGATCAGAACCAGGATGAACCCCAGGGACTATCTTTAAATATACAGCTACAATGGGGTATTCATTTTGGGTACAAGGCACCCCTAAGAACAGAAGGGAACTCTTGGTCCAAATACGGTGTTTTTTGGGTTTATACACTAAGACAGGGGAGTTTCAGATTGCCTGTGCCAAACAGCTCCCAACTAAATCTTTCCGAAACCATTTAGAATGTCTAGAGGCCCTCTGACTGAGAGCTGGTCAAAGCAGAAAGCAGATGCCCAGGGTGTATAACACTGTATGTCTGGGATGATAATTAGATCATCAATATGATAAAGTATAGTGAAAAAGACCTTAAGGGAGCAGCTAGGTGAAGTCCTGAAGTCAGGAGGACCTGAGTTCAAATCCAGCCTCAGATCAAACACTTGACACTTACTAGCTATGTGACCTTGGGAAGTCACTTAACCCCAATTGCCTAAAAATAAAATAAACTAAAAAAATAAAAAAATAAAAAAAGACCTCAGACTTAGGTTTGAGCATCAACTCTGACACTCACTAGCTACATGACCAATGACACTAAGTTTCAGGTAAGTTCTTATCCTTAGATCTATTGTGAGAAAAGTGCTTTGTAACTATAAAAATATGAGCTGCCATTACTATCACAAGATGGTTTTTCAAACTGTATCATACAGAAAAAAAACACTATCCAAGATTAAACAAATAAAAAACAAACATAAAACTTGATTTTTTAAAAAAGGAATGTTCAATAGCAGGTATTCTAGTCTGGCAATCAAATGAAAGTATAAAAAAAATTGACTTACACACTGGAAAAAGGATAAGGGCTACTTAGTCCTTAAAATACTCTCCAGTTTCTACTAACTGCTTTGATTTGGATTGTCAAAATCAGTAAGTGGAGTTACTGTAATTCATTTGGTAAAACTATGTTTTACACTGTTGAATCTGCTTTTAAATAAAATAAACTTTTTATCTGTCTTAGATCCTCAAATGTTAATGCTATTTTAAAAAAACCAGACTTCTTCAGCAATAAAAGCCACATATTTGTTGGGCAGTACTCCACTATCAAGGAGGTTGCCCTGTTCCACTATCAAAATACCTAGGTGCCTTGGAGAGGTCATGAAAGTACCCTTGCCCCCTTTAAACACTTCCATTCACCTTTCCTAAAATGTAGCTTTCAACATTTTTAATAATCAAATTATGGGCAATAATACCAGGTACTCTCCTCAGAAAGGATCAATATCCTATATCATCTACAAAAAGTTTCCTAAAAATGAGATTTATGAAATCCATTACAGTTTTATACCAAGCATTTCCAGGAAGCAAATCTTTCTCACATTGATATAAACTATAAAAAATTAAAACCCAAAATTTCAAAACAAATCACACAGTTTGGCTTTTGATATAATACGGGATTTTTATTAGCATGAGAAATTTATACTTTTTACCTTATTCAGGACCAAATTATGGCATTTTATTGAGTGTCAAAGTTATGATTTTAAAAATCCCCACACAATGGGCTAGGCTACTCCTTTTCATTTTTTAAAAACAACACAAGAAAATGAGAACAAAGTTTTCTCACCCACCCTTCTCCCTTCTAGAATGAGGGCTATATCAACTACCAGCATAACTTCTCTGAAAAATATCAGCTCTCATAGCTTGATACCAAACATGATGGAACACCAATCACTTTGTATGTTTCTGGCTGTGTGCCCACGGACTTGAATGACATCACCATGCTGTCCCACTTTTTCCTCATCTGAAACACAAAGGATAACAACTCGTGCAACACCTAACTGATAAGCTTCTGAGGAAAGCATTCTGTAAACTGTAAAGCACTAGAGAAATGGGAGCTCTCATCATTATGAATGTCTTCTGGTCCACCAGATAACTCAAATCGGAATTTCAAATTCAAAATCAGAATTCAAAGACCTTAGACAACATCTGCTCCAACCATGTGATTTTATAGATGGGAAAACTGAGCTTCAGGGAAGGTAATTCAGAGGCACAGTGTGTTAACAAGACATCATATGATCTGTATTTAACTTCCATATGCTTGAATTTTTAACCATAAGGAAACATTTCCTGCAATTAAGTTTTTTTTCCAAAAAGTTTTTAAAATTACTTTTTGCCTCTAACTCCTTTCAGTTAACCCTCCCCATAATACCAAGAAAAACCATAATTACTATACTGATGTAGGTTGATTCATTTTTATTAAACTCCACAGTGTCAGATAATTGCATAATTATGAACATTCGTTTCATTTCTTTCATAAGACATTTCATGTTAACTTTACTAGAGGGAAAATCCAACTTGGGCTAGGGGCAAGAGAAGAAAATGAAGGAGTTTATGAAGTCATATGCCAATATGAAACCCAATGTGGGTTAGAAACAGAAAATTCCCACTCCTCAATTTCAACTGTTATCTTTCCATGTAAAAATGGCACCGATTAAAATCAAAGACATTTCTTCTGCACATTTAAAGAGTGACTGTAAAATATAAACATATATATAAATTATGTGTACCTACTGATATAAAGACCTACATTTGGAAACCTGTTTTTTAGAATATAAATATTAACATACCTCTGATTTGAATTCATCAGAATAAATCTGAAAAGGAAGATACTTGACCTTTATGAACCTTTATGAACTTGATTTTGAAAGGCAAATACACATTCCATCTCTTCCATGAAGCCACTCTTGACTGCTCCATTCCTCCTAGACAGCCCTACTTCTCTGAAATTCTTTCAAACTGTACAACATAATTCAGAATTTCTCTGAACTGGCTGTTACCTTCTTTTGCAATTCATTATTGTTTCATTGTTAATAAAATCTCATCTTCCTAATTCAGCAAATGTTTATTGAGCACTTACTAAAATAACTCATTTATGTAACATACTTATTTCATTGGAGCCTCAAACCCCTTCTGGAGCAGACTTCCTTCTTACAAAGGAGGAAACCCTTCGTGGAGGTTCAGCAACCTGCCTGTGGTCACACAACTTATTAACATCAGAGACAGGTTAGAATCCAGGTCTACCTGACTCTAGCG